GTGTTAAACAAAATTTATTACACGAAAAGTCTCGTAAGTACTAGAAAACAAATCATAAAAATATTATAACCTATAGGTATTCAAAATTGTATTTTACCAGTAGCCAACCTATAAAATCAAAATTTTGGGTGGAATAAAGTACCTCATTAAAGAACCAAAAGCGGTGTTATAATGAAGTCATTATGAAACCAAAATAGATAAAAACACTTTTATTCACAATTTTATTCTACTATCTAAGTTTTTATAGTTGTGCATACGAATTTATAATTTCTCAGACTTGGGTAAAATGTATATAAGGTTATGTTCGTATTAATCAAAATATACAGGGTGATTCAGACTTGTGGTGACAAAAGCTCAGGGGAAATTCCTCTTATCAAAATATGAAAAAAAAGTTATATAAGCTATAAACACGTGTCCGAAAATGCTTCATTATCGAGATACAGGGTGTTTCGTTTAAAAAAAAATTAGTTTTTTGGCCGATTTTATTAAAATTTATATGGTTTATTAAATTATAAATGATTCAAAGATAATACAAACTCGAGTAAAGTTCCTCTAGCTTAAAAATTTACCATGAGTTTTAATTTCCCAAGTGTCAAAAATTTTAGAAATATTGAGGGCCCCCACCAAATGTCGGCCCCAGGGCCTCAAAAATCTTAATCCGGCCCTGGAAATTTTAAAACAGTTTATAATCGATTTAAGTCTATTTTTAAAAAACCCCATATATTTTTACATTTTTATATTCTATATTCTATTTTAAATGTTATAAATTGTTAAATATCTCTGAAATTATAATTTTTAGGTATAGGGATAGTAATTCTACTCAAAATTTTATGTAGAATAGAAAAATGTAAAAATATATGGGGTGTATACATACAATGTATTTTATTTTAATATTATTGTATTAATTTCACTTTCAATAAAGAAGATTATTATTATTATTATTATTATTATTATTATTATTATTATTATTATTATTATAATTAATATTATTATTATTATTACTATTATTATTATTATTTTGTACCTGTGACAGGTGAGTTGACGGTATCTATGGTTACCACGTAATCTGTCATTGTTCAAAATTTAATGGCGTCAATTTTTCAGGTTGTTATAAACAATTTTTTGACTAATTAAGTGTTTTGAAAACAAAATTTAAAAGTAATACAAACAGTATTTGCCAGTATGTCAACTAAATGAAGCACTAGCTAATTGGAGACAATAAAATATAAAATTTATTTTATGAAATATTTTATTTTATTTTAATTACTAATTTATTACTAAATGTTTAAGCATGTCTAAATTCTTAATTCTACATTAGACGTTGCATTTTTTGAATATTCTGGGTCTAATATTAGAAATTGTTAAATATTTAATTATTAAATTAAGGTATAGGGAAAAGTTACATTATTCGAAATGATTTTTAATTTTCTATTTGATTGTGTAAAAACATACAGGGTGTTACATTTAAAATAAAAAAGTTATTAATTGACATGGAATCTTTTTAACATTGTTTTAAGATTCCAAAAATTCCACTCCCATTTCCACAAACCTAATAGCAAAAAAGTTATAGGCTATAGCCTATCAAAAATATATTTTTGATTGACGCGCATTTGTCAAATTTAAACGAAAAAAATTAACTCAAAAACTACTTTAGGTGTAGGACATGGTATAGTAATTTTACTTAGGATTTTATGTTGCATTAAAAAATGTAAAAATATGTGGGGTGTTATATTTGAAATAACAAAGTTGATGTAACTTCCGGTCAAACCGGAAGTGGCAGTTTGTTCAAAATATTTTAGAAAAATAGGCCTAATTGGATTAAAAACTTTAAAAAAATTTCAAATCGATAAATTTTGCCGTTCTCCAGAAACTTTTAATAGACCGCGAACGTGAAACACCCTGTATTTTGTAAATGTGCAAAACCCTGTATATAATTTAAATAATTTTAAAATGTATCCTTAGTGGTTGTCTATTTATCCAGCAAATACATTTGTTTTAAATTATTCAGTCCAGCTGTTATCAAAGCTGTTATATTATGTGCCGAATACCGTGGATAACATTTTATTGGATCGCACTGAAAAAACGCCGAGACACGGGTATCATTTTTAAAATCCATAGGAATTTTTCATGGGAGGGAAAAATTCAAATTTTGTCGTACTGTGTTATATTTAAAAAATAACAAAATAAAAATGCAACAAGTTTAATAAAGGGCACGAGTTTTAAGCGAAACGAGTGTTTTATTAACAAGTGTCTAGAGAAGTTCATAAAAGGAGTTGCATACTATACTTTGTCTATAACAATTAAAAAAATAAATAAAATTCGATGTCTGTCAAACAACTGCAACTAACTTCAGCCCGTGACTATGAAACCCTAAAGCTATGGCTGCTATAGAAGTAAAAAAACATTTTAAAAACAATTTTAAAATATGAAAACAATTTGGAGCATAAAATTTATTAAACTAACATAAAATAATAATATATTATTACAGGAGAGATTCTGCAGGATGTATTCACGAGGAGGAGGTTTACTTTTCGAGCCGCTAGACGAGACGTAAATCATCCGAGTGAATAATGCTAATTATCTCAAATGTAATACTTTGCTTTTTCTACTTCAATTAAGTAATTTTCCTATTTTAAAGATCATTATAGTTGTTACATAGTTCCAACCTCACTTTTTTTCAATTAAAAACCCGATTGGTCACACTGAATATTGAAATCTGCCAATCACTGATGCACAACAACGGGAATAATGAGTTCATTATTCCAGTTGTTAGGCTGGGCAGGGTATCCTTTATAAAAACAAAAGGTGGTAATAAAAACTCAAAACATAGTAGCAAAGAAATTTTGGTTTTGAAAGGTTTTTAGTTTTTTTCAAATATTTTGAGAACCGCAGACTTTATTTTTAATTTATAAATTTCATGTCAGTAGGCAACTCTTCTATAATTTAACCGACTTTTAGCTAAATACAAAAAAAGATCCAAAGAAGTAGGTATAGAAGGATAGTTGGTGCACCCTGTACCTATATGAAAAAAAAAACAAATATCAATAATATATAATTATAATAGAAGTAAAAAAGTATTTTAGCTACTTTAAGTAGGTATCATTTATTTCATCAACCACACAGTGGGCGAAGTCCAATTTTTATAGAATGTGGTTTCTATCGCCCAAGGTTTTGCCTGTACTGTAATTATTAGCCATATGAACCTATGGACGTTAAGCTACACCTTTTATTTTTTTAATGATGTTTAAAAAAAATTAAATTTGTTAATTACAATAATGTTATGATTTTGATTTTGTAAAACTAACTACCCTATAGGATAAAATTCATCAGTCAACCATGTCGAGCTCATTATTTTTTAATTATTTTATTTTATATGTTACAGGGCTCTTTAGTTTATAAAACTTATGCCCAATGGATGGCAAATCGGGATCTTTAGATTGCTTAATTATAAAATTCAAAATTTTAATAAGTTATAAGTAATTCAAACTTTAAGCTCGGCACAAAAATACTCACTTCTTAGCCTTATAACATAAAGAACTATTTTTATAATTATTAATAGTTTGAATGACGAAGGAGCAAGTTTTGTAATGGTTTTATTTTATCTATTTTGCCAAAATTAAAAAAAAATAAGTTTGATCTTTTTACTGCAGTCCCGTAAGTGCTGTATTATGATGATCATATTTATATTTATTTTATTTATAAAAAAACAAGTATAGAGCTAGCATGGGTGACGACTACAAATGTAAAAAAGGTTTTAATTTCGGATTTGTAAAAAAATATGAAAAAAACTAGGAAAAACGGTTTTTTTTTCGTTTCGTTACAATAAATCATATTCTGTCAATAAATAACATCAATATTAAAAAATTGAGTATTTTTTCAAGTCGGTTTTGTCGTCAGAGCGAACCAGGTCATACTTGGAGTCTGATTATTTCCAGAAATTTATTATTAAGGGCGCAATGTCGCGTTGCCAACAAGCCTTGTAACATTGTTTGCACAAGTGGTAGAATATGATAAACACAATGTATAAGAGTATTTATAATATTCTGCAACAAACAATGCTTACGGACGAAATGTCAAAATTACAAAAAAACGTCAAATATAAAATAAATAAAATTGAACGGTGCGTGCCAGCCTTAAACTTTTAGCAACTGCAGTTACAAAAATATCATTCATTTGCGTATTGTTTACCAAGAAATGTACCAATTACCCTGTTTTAAAACATTTTTTTACGAAATTATAAAAATAAACCCATTCACTTAGTAATTTTTGTGTGTCCGGCCCTGGTTGCACATTTACGAAATATATCAAGTTGTGTTTTTAGGTTGTGATAGATTCTAAAGCAATGTATAATTGTCAAACTAGAAGACCAAGATTTTTTTCTAACATATACTGAATATAAGATAAATACAAACCTGTTGTTTTATTAAAAAAAAAATCAAAAATTGAAATAATTTTTTTATTAAAAAAAATTAAAATTATTATTTTTTATTATTATTTTAAGTATAATTTTTGTATTAGGTATGTAAAAACATACAATATTTACAATTTTAAGGAAAACAAATGATTTAAATGATTTTATATATGATTTATTAATAACAAAATACGTTTTTTAACCTATATTTTCAAAATCTGTTCAAATATTTCATGGGAGGGAACTGTGTCGTTTGACTTCTGTTAGATCTAATCTAGCCTCTCCCTCTATTTAATAATTATTAAAAGTAGAAAGTGAGGTTAGATTAGATCTGACAGTAACCAAATTTTTTTATTTGTCCAAACGGGATTTTTCCAGACTAGGAGATAAAAAACTTTACCCGATTGGTCTAAAATATTTTTCAGCCTAGTAAATTTTTTATTGAAGGCATTTTAGTTTAAATAAAACATAGGTATAGTTTTATTATAAATCATTTATTTAAATAGACTTAAATTATTGACGAGATAATCACATATATCCTTAAATAAAATAATACAAACTATATACAAATCTATATAAAAGCAAAAAACTATGAATTATACAATAAACTTTGTAGCCTTTTTCTCTCATTTTCGACAGATGCCAACTTAAACTTTAAATTTAAGTTCTCCCTTTCCAAAAAGGCGCACCTAACCGCTATCTCGTCTTCCTTGGCTCTCCTGGCATCTCTGGATCTTTTCGCGGCCTCGTTATTTTTCTTGCGTTTTTCCCAATAAGTCGGATCAGGATTCTGCGTATTGGACTGCGAGTTGCGACGCATATTTTTGTTGGTTCCATTTTTCTGGACTTGCGACATCATTTTATTTCGGAACTCGTTGTATTCTTGAGTCGTGGAGTTTGGAAACAGTGGATTAGGTACTGATAAGGACATGGCTACAGACACTGGATCTTTTGGAAAAGCCTTGAAAGGTCTCGTGGGCTTACTGGATATCATTGAGCTTAAGTCCACATTCAGAGTTTGGTTATTATTATTGTTGTTGTTATTTTCGTATAAGTCGGATTTTACGCTGCACATTGAATGAGTAGGCGATGATGAATTCGATTGGATGTCCATGTGATTTTCTTCCTTAATATTCTCATATGAGAAACCCCCTGTATTTAGTTTTTTAACACACAAGTCCAAAACATCTTCGTGGTCCATTTGGGCAGACGTTTGATAAGTTTCGGTCATTGCCATGGATTTAGAGCTTAAGTCTAGCTAAAAACAAAAAAGAATTTATTAATGAAGATAACAAAATATAATAATAATAAATAAAACTACAGTGTGAGAAGTTTAAAGAAATACATGTTTTAAATGTTACTTACCACCATATTAATATTGATATTGATAATCCAAAATGCACTTAACTGTACCAAGAGCTACTGTAAACTACTTTGAATACTGCAAGAGATAAGGTTTTCCCTAAGATATTTAGAACCCTTTTATGACTAGCCAATAGAAAGTTAGCATTTTAGGAACTACCCTCCCACCATCTCATTGCAGTTTTGCGAATTTACGGAATGCATCTACAGTAAAATTGGGGCGGATTTGCATGCTATTTTATTGCTATGCACTTTTAATACCCTCTATTGATAAATACTTTATAGAGGGATTAAAAGGTGTTTAATAACTTAAAGTCATAAGTAGAATATGCTACTTCATTAATGCATTCTTGAAATTTCTAATATTATATTTTGTTAGGTATTTTTTTACCTTTGATGCACTTTGCCTTACGCAACTTGTTTTAAATACCTGAAATTTTATTACCCTATAAGTTAAAAATAATTAAAAAAAAAAAAGGAAAAATGCATATTTTTAATGCATAGTTGTGCGTTTTTCCCCTATTTTTGCAAGTTCTATTGTGATTCATATTCAACAGATTTTTTAAGAGGTAGGTACCGTTTTAAGTCTATTGTTGCGTGTACCTGTTACCGAAAACTGTCTTTTTTATACTGATTTGCATTTTATTGAAAACGGGACTTTTTAGGGGTGGGTATAACTGTAAAATTTAATTGGGGCACTACAATATTTTTATTATAACGGTTATTGTAGTATATTTTTGTTATAACAAAAACAGATTTATTTTCTCTTCAACAAAAAATTCTAATTTTTTCAATGATCCTAAATATTTTATTTTTATATGCGTTTTAAATTATTATTTGGGTTAACTTTCCTTGCGATAATGCCCTATTTGCCCCACCAATAGATAGAATTTGTAGAACTCCTAATAATTTTGATTAACTATTTAGATGTGACACTAAAGCACTTTAGGAAACATATAAGACAAAAACTTGTTCCAACATGACTTATTTTTATTTGTTATATTTCTTTGTTACAAGATGTTTTTATATTTTTGTGTTTGTACATTTTGTGTTTATCATCTTTATAGTTATAATTGTCCGTGTGTATTTTTTGTAATTTTTTTGGCAATTTTTGCCGTTAATAAAGGTGAAAGGTTATTATAACTTTGTTTGTCAATTATAATTATTTGACAATAAAATGGCCATATTTTAAATAATTTTATATGAAGCCTTTTAGTGATTTTTGTGATGTTTTCAAAGAAATAATAAAAATTTAAAATGATATAAAATCTGTATGATTTGGATTTTTTAAATAAAATTTGTTGATAAATAAAGTAAATAATAAATTGCACCATTTAAATTTATATTATATTTATTGGGGGCGCCATGGGGCAGGTACGGCCGAGCAAAAAATTATCTTTTTTTCGCAAACTTCAATTCTGCTTGCGCAGAACTTGTTTATTTAATGTCTTTATAATCTCATATAAATTTAATAATTGAGATATAGGTATACCTAAAATCCACCAGCCGCCACACAATTTTAAATTACGAGTTATAAAAAAAGAAAGCACAGAGATTATGATTTTAAAAGAAATATATTTTTTTAAGATAAAATGCCCGCTTAAACTTGCTTAAAAAGTCACATTGTTCGTGTCGGTTTTTTAGAGCAAATTGTATGTAAGTTTTTTAAGCCCATTTTTGTTTTGCGTAATTAATGAAAGAAAATGATGGTATATTTTACTACATTCCTTATCCTTGTTCTTTCATATAAAAGTCTAAAATTGCAAATTTTACCATAAATACGGTTTTTATAAACCTTTTACCATCGCCTTTAAAAGTAGATAAATCTTTTACAAACCACAAGATATTTCGTTAGGTGTGCCTTGGTGTGAGGCAAAGTATTTGGTACCAGAACGTTCATCAAATTTTCTTTTTTTAGAGTCAAAAGAATTAAGCTGCCTTTTTTTGCCTGTTTGGTCAGCAGAATATGAAATATGTCCATGAATTTATCATATTAGTCGAATATTTATAAGTCATCATAGTTGCCTTTCGCTAGTTCTAAAACGTCAGTTTCCAGTAAAGGTCAATCATACATACAATCTCATCGTGTTTTTGTGTTTATTAACGCTTTATAATAACATTTGGTAAGTTATAATATTAATATTAATATAAATATTACATGTTTATTTGAATAACTTGCTTCTTTTTATGTAGAAATGCCATCAACGACTAATAAGGAGATGTATGAACTTATTAAAAATGTTAGTAACAAAGAAAAACACAACAAACTTTTAAAGTATCTAACCAAAAACCTGGATATTATTGATAAATCTTATATTGTCCCCTGAATCCGAAAATATCGTCAAAAGTTAAAAAAGTAAAACAGTTTTTGAGATATAGTCAATTTTTCATTTAATATGGAATTGACTATATTTCAAAAACTGCTCCACTTTCATAATTTTTGGCGCCATTTTCGGATTCAGGGGACAATTTTACATAAGAATTGGATGTTAAATTTTGGGATACCATTATATTCCATGGTTAACTATGGTACAAGTAAAAAAGCAGCCAATAATAACTATTAAATTAGTCATTTTTGACTAATTCATTTTTAGAGAGTAGGTAAAAAACGTGGATTTAACCGGTTTTGCTTTAAAGTCAACTTCTAAATGTTATTTTAATATCGATATAGGGTTTTTTGAACCAAGTCACTCTAGTAGTCGATATAAATAAAGCAAAAGATGCGAAATTTACAAAGAAAAGATGTATCGAAAAAAATGTATATAAGTGATTAAGCTCGAATATTCCTTAATTGTTATTGTTTTTTTTGTTTATTTTTCTATTTTTAGCTTAGGTAATATTGCGTAACATATTTGTTTATTAATTTATGTTTTTGGAAAATGGAGGATCGACAATACCGAACTTTTCCAAATTGTTTAAAACAAATTTGTGAATTTGTGTAGATAATTAAAACATTTTATTAATATTAATATTTTTGCATAAATTTACCACCGCATAAACCTTAAAATGGCTTAAAATAATGTGTCCCTAATTTTGTCCGCGATTTTTGAAATTCCTCCCACTGTGCGCCACTGGTCTTTATCTACGACGAACTCAAAGAAGAATTTAAAGCCAATTTTATTTGTCAAAAACATTTGACATCTGTCAACTGTCAACGGATTTAACCACACTTTTTTCCAATTTATTAGTGATTCCCACGAGAGTCTCGTTTTCGAGAGTCTCGCATGGTCTCGTCTCGTTTTCGAGACGAGACTCGAGACGATATTTGGACTGGACGAGACGATACTTTTATTGGTCTCGTCTCGAGTCTCGAGCGAGACTTCTGAAGTCTCGTGCGAGAGTCTCGCAGGAAAATATTTCTGCGCACGGACTTGCTCATCACTCGGTGTTATTAAAAAAACGTTTGACGGTCATTTTCTTTTGTCAGGCCGCCGGATCCGCCTTTGCACCACACTTTGACTGTCATAAATTTAGCGATATGTAAGTGTAAGTAAATAAAGACAATTATTAATTGTTTCGACCTTTACTTGACGAAACTCCATATTAACTATGTAAATATAAAAACAACTATGTTTTGAAAGTTTCACGTAATTTATTTAAATGTTGACAATTGTTTTGCTACACAGTAGCTTTTTCAGAATGTATTAAAACTAATACAGTGGTGCAAAATTTATATAACAAAAATATTGGTTTTCTATGTAATAATTTTTATTTTAAATCTACCTGTGTTACATAATATTTAAAAAAGTATTTAGAAATTCTATCCTTATGGGAAATACCTAATCTATTTATTGTTAACAATTTTATTTAAGGGGCAATATTTTAAATATGTGATTGTTTTATGTATATAATGCTATTGTATCTTAATTAAAATAGGTTTAACAGTGGTGAATTATTTGTTTCGATTTGATCATCGAGAATATTATCAGTATTTTTAAGTTTGTTAATTTCTAAAGACTCCAATAAATTTAATGTTGTGCCTTTATTTTCTAAATATCCTCTCTAAAAATGAATTAGTCAAAAATTACTAATTTAATAGTTATAAGTGGCTGATTTTTCACTTGTATCATGGTTAACCATGGAATACCATTGTATCCCAAAATGTCGTCAAAAGTTAAAAAAGTAGAACACTTTTTGAGATATAGTCAATTTTCTATTTAATATGGAAATGACTATATCTACTTCAGTCGGCGGATAGATTGTTCTCACGTGCTGTGTTAACTATAAGAAAACATCGAAATCGCCTTAATAATGAATCTGTACGATGTTTGTTATGCCTAAACTACGGTGTGAAAAACAAAAATATTTGCGACCCAGAAAGCTGTTAGCAGATTTGTTTCCAATTATTTACAAAATGTTAAGTTTTCGTTTTGTTTAAAAGTAATATTTCAAATAGATGATGTTATCTACAGTTGTAATTTTCTCTTCCCACCCTTACATTATAGCATACTCGGATACTTACCTACTGCATCCCTTACTGGACTGGAACAAAATTATCCATGAAGGGATTTCGATACTTTTGCGAGACTCTCGTACGAGAAACGAGACGAGACGAGACTGGAGGCTGCGAGACGAGACTTGATACAAGACTTTTTATTTTATCGGCGAGACGAGACAAGACTTTATGAAAGTCTCGTCTCGTTGGTCTCGTGGGAATCACTACAATTTATAATAAAGCTAACTTTAGCCCATGACTAAATGCCCAAAAGCCACTGTAGCTAACTTTAGCCCGTGACTAAAATGCCATAAAGGTACAGCTTATCAATAAGGGAGTAGATAAACTATGTTAGGTACCTACTCCATATGTTCAATAATAATCTTCTGTAATTTGTTTTTGTAAATTAATATTTCTTATAATAAGGCAAAACGATTTGTTTGACTCTCCCACGAACATTCAAAGATGGCAAAAAAGTAGCCTCATAAAAGTAGGTGGTTTATATAAGTTGTACATGATATTTGATATTTCACACAATATTTTCAAGAAATTTTTTTAAACCTGTTATAAACTC